TTTCATTCTTTTCGAACGATCCGTGGTTTTATTGAATTCTTCTTTTAAGACATTAAGCAATTTTTTTTCATCATTTTCTTCGATTTTAATTTCATTTTGGTCAGTAACAGAATAAAAAAATTTGTTTGTCAGTGCTTCCGATACATTTTTCAATTTTTCATTTGAATAACGCCGTTGAGAATTTTTTTTCTTTTGAATAGGTGAAACTCCAAGTTCAAACCCTGGTTGAGAAAATCAATTGCTGCAGATACCACTGCTTCGTCTTCTTCAAACGGTAAATCGGGACTAGCGGGAATACGTTTGATATCATTGCCATCAGTTTCCAACAATGCCTCCGATTCAGAAGACTTATTTTCTTCATCTAAATCGAAATTTATTTGATGTGCTGTTACCTTCTTTAACTTTTTTATTTATACTTTCACTATTAAAATCATTAAAATTTACCTTTTTTACGTTGTTCTTTGTTAATTCAGCAAATTTCAGGCGGCAAGTATTACAGATTTTTTGCTGAAGTGTCCTTTTTGTAATTGGTAAATTTAAAACTTCTAAATGTTTTTTTGAAACTGGCCGAAGGTTTTTTACTTTCCTATGACGACACAAGTTGAATGGATTCAAACATCGATCTACTCTTATTTTGTCAAATTTTGACATTGCAAGAAATTTTTATTATCTTATTTACAAATTTAGTGTTGATTATTTGAATGACAGCGCGCAAAAGAGTTATTTATGCAATCTTTGGTTAGTTTTTGGTAGAGGTTGAATTGGCTTTTAGTCATTGTACTTGCTAGTGCTTGAACTGCATTTTAGTCAATATCTAATCGCATAACATACAGAATTCATACGGCATGCAGCACCACAAGTTCTCACATGTTTCATTACGTCGCGCGCTGCGTATTTCAAGACGTTCCGTTCTGCGCGACTAGCGCTCAAAAATATTTAATATCTTTGGATCTAACTGTGCCTCCAACATCAAATAAAGAGATTTTGTAGTAGAGAGTAAAAGAAAAATTATGTTGTTTATTTCAATCGATTCGAGTCGGGTAAAGGGTATGTAAATCCTATGTTAACAATAGACTGCTTTTATTGCTAAAAAATTGCAAAAACAATAATTTTTTTTGCAATTAACTGAAAGTTGAATTCAAAATGAGTACAATAAAAAAAAATCATACTGATCTGTTCACCACAACTGGAGATATTAAGAGTAATGCTGAGGAAGACCATTAAATTTGAGCAAATTATCCAAATTTCAATCGTAAATATTTTCTTTAAAAAATTTTTCAAAGCAAAATCCTGAAATACATGTCAAATGATTTTATGAATAGTATCTGTAAACAAATTTTCAGACAATTTTAAAATGCCAAGGTTAATTAGTGTCCGGTTTGTAAAAGAATGACCCATATATAAGAATGAAGAAAAACGTAATGGTCTTAATGAAGAAAATTTCACTATAAAAGGATGCCCTTCGGACTGAAAAATGCACCAAGCACACTGCAAAGGTTAACTAACATGGTATTGGCGTGAGTCGAACGATTTAAAGGATTAGTGTACATATACGACATTTTCGTTTATGGTAAGACACTACAGAATCACAATTATAGGTTACGAGATGTTTTCAAACAACTACGTAACGTACCTAAACACAATCTAAAACTCCAACCAATAACGTATGAATTCCTAAGTCGGAAATTAACCTATTTGGGGCATGTAATATCAGAAAAGGGTGTCACTCCAGATTCCGACAAAGTAGAAGCTGTTAGAAATTTTATGGCACCAGCAAATCCAAGAGAAGTAAAAATGTTCTTAGGATTAGTAGGATATCACCGAAAGTTCATTAAAAAAATTGCAAGAATTGCTAACCCTCTGATATCAGTGCTGAGGAAGGATAAAGCTTGGAATTGGGGTGAAATGAAAGATAAATCATTCAATCTTTTGAAGAAGACTCTTTTAAATGCACCAATATTGCAATGTGCGGATTTTAATAAACCTTTTATCTTGACGACGGTGAAGCCATAGGAGCAGTTCTGGCTGAAGACAGTCCAGCAGGAGAGATGCCAGTGGTTTTTGCTTCCAGAAAACTCAACAAGGCGGAACTAAACTATGACATAATAGACAAGGAGTTATTAGCTATCATATGGAGTATTAGACAGTTTCGCCCTTATTTATATGGTCAAAAGTTCATCATATATACCGATCATCAGCCACTGACATACCTCTCCCAGACAGCACAAGTTGTTTGGATTGTAATTGCTCTTATATTGGCCAGACCTGCCAGAACTTAAAAGGAGAACCCGCGCATTGCTCGTCTCGGATTTGATGAAATTTGGCACAATGGTAGATTTTATGCCCAAACTGACCGTGGTAAAATATTAGAGGCCTATGAAAAGCGGTTTAATTATAAAAATTAATTAAAATTTGCATTTTAGCAGCGCGCGCTATACATAGTTTGCAACGTGCGTTCTTTCCGGTTCAGTCGTAGCCCAGTGGTAATGTGACTGGACTCTCATTAGTATGCGTATTGTCGGAGGATCGAATCCCACTCATGATATATTTTTTTTATTATTTTTAATTCAAATTTATAATTGCATGAGTAAATAATATTAAAGTTTTCTTGAGTTTTAAATTAATTTTATATTTTTCGCTAAATATTCTATAGTAAAATACTCTGTAGCGTCTGTATAAAATTGATGTAATACCTGAAACATAATAATTTTATAAAAAAAAACATCAATATATTAACTACTTTAAGGTTTATAATTGGCGGGACGGTACTTATCATAAAAACAAGAGAAACATAAAAATAAATAGCAATGAGCACATTTCACAAATGCAGTAGTATAAACATTTAATCATAAACTTAAGTGGCAAATCATGTGTGAAATGTGTTTATTGAGTACGCCGCCTGGCTCGTTGGTCTAGGGGTGTGATTTCCGCTTAGGGTGCGGGAGGTCCCGGGTTCAAATCCCAGACGAGCCCGGACTTTTCTTTAAATTCGAGCACATATTATTTACTACAATGTTGTGCATAGGATGCAACACAAACACGCACTGGGTAGAACATGTGGTTCGTTGGTCTAGGGGTATGATTCCCGATTTGGGTGGCGGTGGTCCCGGGTTCACATATTTTATACTACATTGTTGTTATAAATATAATAATAATGTCGATTTGGTATAATATTGATTCTACCCATATTGAAACTTTCTTTTAATTTTGACAAATTGCAACAGGAAAGTAATAAATGTGATTGCGTTGGCCAGGAATCGAACCCGGATCAACTGCTTGGAAGGCAACTATGCTGACCATTACACCACCGACGCCTAACATATGGCATTCAATTATGGTGTAATAACTTATAGTTGTAACTTAGTATGTTGATAAAGTTTATTGTTAGTTTTTGTATGTAGACAGCAAAATGCCAAGACATGACAAATCATTTCTTAAAATAATGTGATATTTCCGAACATCTCTTGTGGGTATTCAGCCGGCAAAATTTAGACGAAAATTGCAACGCATAAACGGCTATAGTTAATTACCAATTGCCAAACTGGACTATACAATATATGGTCATTACATAAATTAGTTTTACCAAGCATCCCTTGTGGGGATTGAACCCACGACCTTTGGATTAGAAGTCCAACGCGCTATCCGTATATATTCATATTATATTTGGTATATTTTTTATACCTAATAGTATTTGATGATTATATTGTTCATAATATTGTTACGAATGTGTGGGTGAGCACCCACTTAACTACATAACTACCCCTCTCAGTCATGAGATAGTCGTGGTCGAGGGTGTGCGTTGCCTGCATGGCCTCAAGGTCGGCAAACGTGCGGTCCAGCGCACGAAAGGGTTAATAAAATGTTTTAATTGTGGACGTCATGTGGAGACAGCGTTTCGGAAGCTATCCCCCAAACCGAAAGTAGACTTTGTATAGTTTGTATAGTTTATAGGAGTGAAGTAAATGTTAACTATTTGTGTGTGAAGTGAATAGGGCCCGATGTATGGACAGGTATTGGACACTGGTTGCGCCGTCGGTTACAGATTATTGTAGATATAAATCGCATGTTAGAATAAGCAATGTTTTAGGATAAGTGATTATTAAATGTAAATATAGGTTAGTTAATTAAGTAACGAACAAACGCCTTTTCATTAGTAATATTTGAAGTAACTAGTCTCTTACAGGATTGCGACGTCACGGTAAGGTTGTAGAAAGACCGCGAATGTACACAATTATAATAAATTAGAGCATGACTAAAGGAGTATAGTAAATAAATAAAAGGATATTCATGACAAATGAAAAGGGGTCCATGACTATACATATAGTTTACCCCTACTATTATCAGCATTACGACAAGGGTCTACGAGGAAAAATATTTATTATTTATACCCTATAATATTCAATGAAAATTGTTTATATCTAATAGAATTTCATGATTTTATTGTTTATCATAGATATAGTTTATCTCTAGTATTATCAGTATTATGACAAGGGCCTGTTATAATTATTGTTTGTGCTATATATAATTTATTCCTATTATTATCAACAGCGCAACAAGAGCCTCCGTGGCGCAATTGGCTAGCGCGTTCGGCTGTTAACAGAAAGGTTGGTGGTTCTAGCCCACCCGGGGGCGTAAAGTAGTTGTTATTTATACTCTGGAATATTCAATGCATATTGTTTATACCCAATAGTATTTGATGATTATATTATTCATCATATATGTAGTTTACACGAGCCCGGACATTTCTTTAAATTCGAGCACATATTATTTACTACAGTATTGTATATTGGATCGAGAACATATTATTTACAACAGTGTTGTACATTGGTTCCAACACAAACACTCACTGTATAAACCCGTGGCTTGTTGGTCTAATGTTATGATTTCGGCTTAGATATTAAACGTAATTGGCAAATCATGTGTAAAATGTGTTTATTGAGTAGAACCCGTGGCATGTTGTACATTGGATGCAACACAAATACGCAATGGGTACAACCCGTGGCTCGTTGGTCTAGGGGTATGATTTCTGCTTAAGGTGCAGGATGTCCCAGGTTCAAATCCCGGACGAGCCCGGACATTTCTTTAAATTCGAGTACATATCATTTACTACAAAATTGTAGTAATATTTACTACAATGTTGTAGATTGGATCCAACACAAACACGCACTGGATCAAACCCGTGGCTCGTTGGTCTAGGGATATGATTTTGGCTTAGATAATAAACGTAAGTGACAAATCATGCGTGAAATGAGTTTAATGAGTATACCGCGTGGCTCGTTGGTCAAGGGGTATGATTTCCGCTTAGGGTGCGAGAGGTCCCGAGTTCAAATCCCGGACGAGCCCGGACTTTTCTTTATATTCGAACACATATTATTTACTATAATGTTGTGCATTGGATGCAACACAAACACGCACTGGGTAGAACATGTGGTTCGTTGGTCTAGGGGTATGATTCCCGCTTTGGGTGGGGGAAGTCCCGGGTTCAAATCCTGTACGAGCCCGCGCATTTCTTTTAAATTGAGCACATATTTCTTACTACATTGTTGTTATAAATATAATAACAATGTCGATTTGGTATAATTTCTACCCATATTGAAATTTTCTTTTAATTTTGACAAATTGCAACACGAAAGTAATAAACATAATTGCGTCGGCCGGGAATCGAACCCGGATCAACTGCTTGGAAGGCAACTATGCACTCAATTGTGGTGTAATTACTTATAGTTGTAACTTATTAAGTTGATAAAGTTTATTGTGAGTTTTTGTATGTAGACAGCAAAATGCCAATACATGACATATCATTTCTTAAAATAATGTGATATTTCCGAACATCTCTTGTGGGTATTCAGCCGACAAAATTTAGAAAAAAATTGCAACGCATGAACGGCTATAGTTAATTACATAAATTAGTTTTACTAAGCATCCCTTGTGGGGATAGAACCCACGACCTTTGTATTAGAAGTCCAACGCGCTATCCGCTGCGCCAAAGGGACCACAGCCTCAAAAAACTTTTGTTTGCATTGATTCTTAATTATTATATCTGATATTGATGATGAAAAAAAGTTACAGATATGTGTTATTTATTGGGTATAAGAATAATTGTTGTTTATACCCGTTATTGTTTGATGATTATAAATATTGTTTATGCTATATATAATTTATTCCTACTCTTATCAATAGCACGACAAGGGCCTCCGTGGCACAATTGGCTAGCGCGCTCGGCTGTTAACCGAAAGGTTGATGGTTCGAGCCCACCCTGGGGCGTATAGTATTTATTATTCATACCCTGGAATATTAAAAGAATATTTTTTATACCCAATAGTATTTAATGATTATATTGTTCATCATATTGTTACGAATGTGTGGGTGAGCATCCACATAACTACATAACTACCCCTCTCAGGTAGTCGTGGTCGAGGGTGTGCGTTGCCTGCATGGCCTCAAAGTCGGCAAACGTGCGGTCCAGCGCTCGAAAGGGTTAATAAAATGTTTTTAATGTAAGCCTAGAGGACGTCATGGGGGGACAGCGTTTCGGAAGCTATCCCCCGAACCGAAAGTAGACTTTGTATAGTTTGTATAGTTTATAGGAGTGAAGTAAATGTTAACTATTAGTGTGTGAAGTGAATAGGGCCCGATGTATGGACAGGTATTGGACACTGGTTGCGCCGTCGGTTACAGATTAGTGTAGATATAAGTTGCATGTTAGCATAAGCAATGTTTTAGGATAAGTGATTATTAAATGTAAATATAAGTTAGTTAATTAAGTAACGAACAAACGCCTTTTCATTGGTAATATTTAAAGTAACTAGTCTCTTACAGGATTGCGACGTCACGGTAAGGTTGTAGAGAGACCGCGAATGTACACAATAATAATAAATTAGAGCATGACTAAAGGAGTATAGTAAATAAATAAAAGGATATTCATGACAAATAAAAAAGAGTCCATGACAATACATATAGTTCACCCCTACTATTATCAGCATTACGACAAGGGTCTACGAGGAAAAATATTTATTATTTATACCCTAGATTTATATATCTAATTTTATATTTTTTATTATATAGTTTATATCTAATAGAATTTCATGATTTTATTGTTTATCATTGGTCTAGGGGTATGATTTCCGCTTAGGGTGCGGGAGGTCTCGGGTTCAAATCCCGGACGAGCTCGGACTTTTCTTTAAATTCGAGCACATATTATTTACTACAATGTTGTGCATTGGATGCAACACAAACACGCACTGGGTAGAGCATGTGGTTCGTTGGTCTAGGGGTATGATTCCCGCTTTGGGTGGGGGAAGTCCCGGGTTCAAATCCTGTACGAGCCCGCGCATTTCTTTTAATTCAAGCACATATTTCTTACTACATTGTTGTTATAAATATAATAATAATGTCGATTTGGTATAATATTGATTCTACCCATATTGAAACTTTCTTTTAATTTTGACAAATTGCAACACGAAAGTAATAAACGTGATTGCGTCGGCCGGGAATCGAACCCGGATCAACTGCTTGGAAGGCAACTATGCTGACCATTACACCACCGACGCCTAACATATTGCATTCAATTATGGTGTAATAACTTATAGTTGTAACTTATTAAGTTGATAAAGTTTATTGTGAGTCTCTGTATGTAGACAGCAAAATTCCAAGACATGACAAATAATTTCTTAAAATTTTCATTTTACCCATATTGAAACTTTTTTTTAATTTTGACAAATTGCAACAGAAAAGTAATAAACGTGTTTGCGTCGGCCGGGAATCGAACCCGGATCAGCTGCTTGGAAGGCAACTATGCTGACCATTACACCACCGACGCCTAACATATTGCATTCAATTATGGTGTAATAACTTATAGTTGTAACTTATTAAGGTGATAAAGTTTATTGTGAGTTTTTGTATGTAGACAGCAAAATGCCAAGACATAACAAATAATTTCTTAAATTTTCATTTTACCCATATTGAAACTTTTTTTTAATATTGACAAATTGCAACACGAAAGTAATAAACGTGATTGCGTCGGCCGGGAATCGAACCCGGATCAACTGCTTGGAAGGCAACTATGCTGACCATTACACCACCGACGCCTAACATATTGCATTCAATTATGGTGTAATAACTTATAGTGTAACTTATAAGTTAATAAAGTTATTGTGAGTCTCTGTATGTGACCAGCAAAATTCCAAGACATGATAATAATTTCTTAAAATTCATTTTACACATATTGAAACTTTTTTTTAATTTTGACAAATTGCAACAGAAAGTAAAAGTGTTTGCGTCGGCCGGGAATTGAACCCGGATCAACTGCTTGGAAGGCAACTATGCTGACCATTACACCACCGGCGCCTGACATATTGCATTCAATTATGGTGTAATAACTTATAGTTGTAACTTATAAGGTGATAAAGTTTATTGTGAGTTTTTGTATGTAGACAGCAAAATGCCAAGACATGACAAATAATTTCTTAAAATTTTCATTTTACCCATACTGATTTTTTATTTAAATTGACAAATTGCAACACGAAAGTAATAAACGTGATTGCGTCGGCCGGGATTCGAACGCGGATCAACTGCTTGGAAGGCAAATGCTGACCATTACACCACCGACGCCTAGCATTTTGCACTCAATTATGGTGTAAATAACTTATAGTTGTAACTTGTAAGTTGATAAAGTTTATGGTGAGTTTTTGTATGTAGACAGCAAAAGGCAAGACATGACAAATCATTTCTTAAAATAATTGTGATATTTCCGAACATCTCTTGTGGGTATTCAGCCGACAAAAATTTAGACAAAAATTGCAACGCATGAACCATACCAATTTCCAAAAACTGGACTATCAATATATGGTCATTACATAAATTAGTTTTACTAAGCATCCGTTGCGGGGATCGAAACCCACGACCTTTGGATGAAGTCCAACGCGCTATCCGCTGCGCCAAAGGGACCACAGGCCCAAAAAACTTTTGTTTGCATTGATACTTAACTATTATATCTGATATTGATGATAAAAAAAGTTACAGATATGTGTTATTTATTGGGTATAAGAATAATTGTTGTTTATACCGTTATTGTTTGATGATTATAAATATTGTTTATCCTATATATCATTTATTCCTACTCTTATCAATAGCACGACTAGGGCCTCCGTGGCGCAATTGGCTAGCGCGCTCGGCTGTTACCGAAAGGTTGATGGTTCGAGCCCACCCTGGGGCGTATAGTATTTATTATTCATACCCTGGAATATTAAAAGATATTTTTTATACCCAATAGTATTTAATGATTATATTGTTCATCATATTGTTACGAATGTGTGGGTGAGCATCCACAAACTACATAACTACCCCTCAGTCATCAGGTAGTCGTGGTCAAGGGTGTGCGCTGCCTGCATGCCTCAAAGTCGGCAAACGTGCGGTCCAGCGCTCGAAAGGGTAATAAAATGTTTTAATGTAAGCCTAGAGGACGTCATGGGGGGACAGCGTTTCGGAAGCTATCTCCCGAACCGAAAGTAGACTTTGTATAGTTTGTATAGTTTATAGGAGTGAAGTAAATGTTAACTATTTGTGTGTGAAGTGATTAGGGCCCGATGTATGGACAAGTATTGGACACTGGTTGCGCCGTGGGTTACAGATTAGTGTAGATATAAGTTGCATGTTAGAATAAGCAATGTTTTAGGATAAGTGATTATTAAATGTAAATATAGGTTAGTTAATTAAGTAACGAACAAACGCCTTTTTATTAGTAATATTTAAAGTAACTAGTCTCTTACAGGATTGCGACGTCACGGTGTAAGGTGTAGAAAGACCGCGAATGTACACAATAATAATAAATAGAGCATGACTAAAGGAGTATAGTATAAAATTAAAAAGGGTCCATAACAATACATATAGTTTACCCCTACTATTATCAGCATTACGACAAGGGTCTACGAGGCAAAATATTTATTATTTATACCCTAGAATATTCAATGAAAATTGTTTATATCTAATAGAATTTCATGATTTTATTGTTCATCATATATATAGTTTATCACTAGTATTATAAGCATTATGACAAGGGTCATATAGTTCACCC